AAGAATTTTGAAAATAATACTGTTTAAACAGGAGAGTGTTATCACTGTTCACGTATGTTGGAAGGGAAAGAAAAATCGCACTGCATTTAAAAGGACTATAAATAATATCTTTAATTATCTTATCCCATACTGAAATGTCCTGTAGTGCATTTATGCTATCAATAAATTGATGATACTGCCATAGCAGACAAGGTTTCTAAACAACTGTAGTCAATAATGAAAATGTATGCTGAGCTGCTGGTTGCATGTCAGAAAATTTGTTGCCACTTTGAACTAGCTATGAAAATAGGCAGAGATTTGGTTTTAAGTCTGTTTCATAATTTATGACCTTTTCTGAGAAGGGAAGAAGAAATCTTTGGGATAAAGAAAAACAGAGTTAAAAAGTACTGTAAAAAGTATGAAAATCATGGTGTCTTTAATGATTGTAAAAATTGTCATGGTGTGAGTCCTCTTTCATGTTAAGCTTTATCTCACATACACACAAACTCCTCCCGAGGTTCGGCACTCCCAGCTGACTGTGCCAGGCAGCACGTGGAGGCCTTCAGGCAGAGCAAGCAGCTGTCTGTCACGTAGACCTATGTTAAAAAGCAAGGAGATGCAGGAAATGAAGAATAAGGTTGATATGCTTCTGGTAAAAGTGGTAGCCAAGCTCACAGTTTTGAATTTTAGAGGAAGATAAGGAAGTGGGGAGCTGCCTCTGGCAATGTAGTTTGAGTCTCTGTGCCAGCTGAGGTGTTGTATGTACTATGTCTAAAAATACACCAGCCCCCCCGAAGTCATGAGGTCAGTAATAGACTTGTATGTGTTTTGTACAAAATTTTGTATGAATGTGTTGGTAGCTACAATTCTCTATGACTCTCCCTGTGAATATCCGTGTGGATAACAGACGCAGCTGCTGGTGGGATAATGAGGAGCAGGAAGAAAATCCTCCTAAACTGTCAGTTGACTGATTTCCAAAAGAGCCATCGATGGCTGACCATTCCAGTACCCAGTGGCTGGGCTGGGCCTAAGAAGTCAACTTGAGGCATCTCTATATTTGATTTCAGAAGGTTGCCTTGGAAATTTGAATTTAAATGTTAAATCAAACCTTTCAGTCTTCCTGAGAGTCTTATAGGGAAGCTGAGTGTGCAGCATGGGGGGATGTGGTGGTTTGAGCTTTTGTTCTAGGAGAGCGAGAGGAAGAGCACCCAAAGGTGAGAAGAATTCCTACTGATAGTCCAACTTAGGTTGTGTTTAAATTTGTTTTACATGTGATATTTTGTTTAACTGCAACTTGCAGCAGCAAGTGTAGTTTTTGTCCTGCAGAATAAATGTTTGCTGTTTTGCTACCAAGTATGCTTTTTGTTATACAGACTTAGTGAGTTCATTTGAAATGGAAAACCTCAGGGTTTTCTGCTCCCATGGATGCACTGCATCAGAAAAAAAAGCAGATGTGTCCAGTCTGTGTGAAGCAGACTGTGAAAAGGTCCGTACTGGTGGGCAGATATCTTTTTTTCTAGGTGGGAATTCCCTCTAGCTGGCTCAAATCAGTACTCTATCTTCAAAGAGCAGATGGTAGAGAGGCATCCCATGGTGTGAATGCAGGCAGAGTCTTTGCAGTCTCTTTTTACAATGTAAGAGTTTCTAGAATGAAAGCATATACAAAACCTTTTGAATTGCTTTTTGGTGGCAGGAGCTGTCCACATGAGATGTTTGTCTTGCTCCCAAAATGCAAGGGATTGAAAAGTGAGTCTCCTAACAGTCTGTCTACTTGGATTCAGGACAATGTTTCCATTTCCGTAGTAATCAGAAGCTGGTGTACATTGCAACAATAACTGCTGTTCCCCTGGTTTCTGCTTCTCTTCATCCCCCATGGCAAAGGCACTTAATCCATCTCTACAAATTACAGTTTTCAGTAAAATGCTGCTCTGCACTGGAAGGAGAGAGTAGGGTCAAGCCTGTTGATATGCTGCTGCAAGAGGGCCCTCAATATAGGTACTCTTTTCTGCAGCCCAGCTTGTTTGGGACGTGCTCCTTACATCCCAGGATGGGGTGGCACCCACAGTCAGGGGAACAGAAGAAATGTGTTTGAGTCATACACAGGATCTTCACTCAGGCTGCTCTGACAAGGGAGCTAAAGCTTGAGGGACTGTAAGAGAATTTCACATAAAAACTGACTTAGAAAATCAAACTGAATCCCCTTTGAGCTGCTCTGTTCCTATTCAGAAAGAGGTACCTCAATACCTGCTAATTGGTACCAACCCTACAAAATGAGGTGAAATCACATCCTGGAACTTGGACAAGGCAGAGTGAAATAGTTTGCTGCTGGTGTTCCCGTATTCCTCTCAAGGTAAACATATGAGTTAAATTCTTAGCACAGTAAAATTATAAGGCATTCCACATCAGGACAGAGCTATATGAGTCCTGGCAGGGCAATCATGGAGACTGAATTTCTAAAGGAAAGCCCCCTATGTGATTCCTGGCAGGACAATCACAGTGTTTGAAATCTCCAGCCGTGAAAAACTGCATAATACAAAACTATCAAAACAAATGATACTCCCAGCATGGAAAACATCAAGGGGGCATGGAGGCTTAAATTGTATAAGTAAAACCTTGCTGTAATTGGCCTTTGGCATGAAAGAAAGAAGCTGCCATTCAGTTCTTTGGCAAGGGGAAAACTTTTAAAGTTGAATTACTGAGAATAATAACCTTCCTTTCTAGGATTAAACTGCAGATTAAAGCATTGCCCATTTAGAAGTTTACTTGGAAAGGGTATCTTTGAGTATGTCTGAACTCCCTGACAAAAATAAGGGGAGGATATGGGAAAAGAGAGACAAAAGGCTGGTATCCGTTTCCTCAGGAGCTTACTGGGAGCTACTGAAGTGGTCTCAGAAGTTGCCAATGTGGCATTTTGGTTGCATGCAAGGTCCATGTCTGTCAGGATGATGCTTATGGTCAGAAAAATAGATTGTATAAGAACAAACCTATTGAAGTGCCCACCTGGAGCTCAAGGAAAAGGCTTGTGTAGGAGGTGATCTGACAGTTGTTTAACTTGATAAAAAGTTTTCTGTCCCCTCTTTCCTTAAGTGAAGTGCCAGCAAAATTGCAGGAAGACACCTCCTTGCTAGTGATGTGTCAGTATTACATAGGTGAAATCCTTGTCAATCCCTGTTTTAGGAACGGTGATGGAACTCGGTAGCTTTGTGAGATGTTCTTGTCAATATTTGTGACTTATCTGTGTACTGTAACTTTCTTTCCCCACACACCCAATCTGTAAAATCACTTTAGCTTTGTAGTACTGCATCCATAAAGATGCTCATCTTCTGTGAATAAAGGGTTTGTGCTGGGAGAATCATGAGGAAATGTTTAACATGGTAAGAAGGAGGCAGTGAAGTTATGAAGGCTTGTCTGAGGTTGTTTGTGTGCTTCACACCATTTACCCACGTGGGGCTGCTGCTGTGAGAACTGTACATGCTACAGCTTGTGCATGACTCTACTTGGTAGTAGCACAGGCTGATTCTGGGTGCTTTCCCTGTCACTTGTGCTTCTCTGCCTGCTTGTTGTCTCCTGTGATGTGTGACTGCAGAACTTATTTATATGCATGACTCAACCGCACGGGCCTCAACTTGATTTTTATCAAATGCATAAGTATATGTAGGGAGGAATGGTCAAGAACTGTTTCTATTTCATGAAACAATGGATTCATGATGAGTAGGACAATTGCAGTGAGAGAGCTCAGATAGATCAACTCGCAGCAAATGGAGATTTTAAATACTGTCATTAAGCCTGGAATTCAGCATCCTTGCCGTTTCTCTGAAGGCAGGTAGGTCAGTAGAATGAGCAGACACGTTGTATGGAGAACTTCTGCCCTCAGTTCAGGAGCATCAGGTCTTCCAAACCAGATATTTTTTCCTTTCCAGTCAAAATAATATGTGCAAATTTGCGTGCAGGCTTTGAGGAGAGAAGGTGAGTTGGTGGAAAAAGTCTGAACTTCTTTTGGTACTTATACCTTAATGAGAATTAAATTTGTATTGCTCCCCAATGCCCTTAAGGTTCACAGGCAGTAATTCCATGTCCTTTCATATGTAGTGGGTGAATGAATAATGAATGCTGGTGCTCTGTGACAAAGAGTAGAATGATGTTGCCTTAAAGAAGAATTAGGACTGCATTACACCTGCCTCAGGCTCTCTCAGCAGAGAGGGAGGCTGTAGGGTTTTTAAACTGCAGAGATGAGGAAGTGTCATTTTAGAAAGTACTGGTAGGCCTGGAGCCATTTAACAGGCTTGAGTGAAACTTCCATGCGCTGCCAGATGAAGAAGGGAAGTAATCAGTCCAGAAGTGTCTGCTTCTATAATTTCAGAGTTGCAGCAGCTGCCTGGGATTAAATCATCATAATCTCTTCACTAAAGGGCTGATTTTTTTTTTTTTTTTTCATCATGAACCCTTTTACACTGGAAAGGAAGATTTGCACTGTACACTAGGGAAAGTTTTTCCTTGGAAGATGTTCTTGCTATGTTCATTCTCAAAAGTGGCTAATTTGGGGCAATTTACTTGGGAGTATTTCCAAAAGTGCTTATTTTTTCCTTCTGTCCAAAAGAGAATTATCAGATGTATAAACAAAAGTGTGAAAGATGATAATCTCTAGTAGGTGCACTCCAAGATGCTATTGTTACCTTATTCCTAATTCTCTGCATGTTGTGAAACAATGATAGTCAACTCCTACATCTTGCTTTCTCCCAGCAAAGGGTCTGCGTGGCTCCATGCCCAGGGGAGGGCAGATCTTTCTCCCACCAAATGCCTCCTCCTTCATGTCATACTGAATGAAGCTTGTAGCAGAATTAGAGGCAGTATCTCTTCCCACTAAGACTGCTTTAGTTGACCCATTTTCTATCCCTCTCCACCCTGCCTGTGAAGCTGGTGACTCATAGAGGAAAAGCATTCCTCTTGCCCTCCCCCAGAAGTGGATTTCTTTTTTTTTTTATGCTGGAGACACTTTCTACTGCAAGTAAAAGACACCAAGGTCTTTTCAGAGGTTTTTATTTATTTTTTTTTCAGATCCAACAACATAGTATATAAGTAGATGCATCTAAAAGTTGCAGTGTAGCTTTAGTTTGCTGTTTAAGCACAAAACAAAATGAGAAATTGACTGCAAGGGAAATAAGAAATGTAAAGACAAGATGAGAGATCTTAATTGTCTGAAAACTTTTCTGTTACCTATGTAAAGTTTGTGAGTGATACTGAGTGATGGAATTGGTTCCCATCTACCTTGTGGTTTTCTTTTTTTAGCATCTGTGGTCAGCTGGCTCACCCCCTGGAGAGAGTCTTTGGTAAACTGGACAAGGTCAGGAGGAGTTTGCCACCTCACCAGTTTGCTTGATGTAGGGCTGAGCTTGTGCTGGCGATGAAATATGCAATTGACAATGGAGTGGAACATCTGATCAGGTTCTGTGAATTGCAGTAATGGTCTAATTCGTTCAGTGAGAGGAACAGAATGAATTTTATTTTTGCAACTGGTTTTGTGGACAGTTTTTCACAGATGTTACTTGACACACTGCTTAAGAGGGACTGTGTAGTCTGTCACCAAGTCAAATGAGATCAAAGCCCTAAAAAGTAGCCAGCCAGAAAACTAAATGAAGAATGTGCATGGTTGAATGAGCAAAGAGCAGACTGGTGGAGCATTGCTAGAAGGAAATCTGGAAGACATTAGGCTGTGATGAAGAAACATAGTTCTATCTTCTGGTGAATATTTGACATCTCTTCAGTCCATCCCACCACCTCCATCTTAGCCAGCTGCATGAGAACTCCTGTGGGCAGCAGAGAGTCACCAGCAGCATTGTGGTGCTCTCAGAATGAGAGCTGAATGAATATAATCAGCTGTAATTGCACCACTGGGCTGCTTCATGTACGGGAGTACTCTTGTGTCGTAGGAGAGAGTGCCTGAAACAAGGAAGGGAGATAACATAACGCTGTTGCCTAGTGGTGACTGTTTTTCACTTGTGTCTTTCAAAGTGTTCCTTGATGCAGGAGAACAGTTTTTTAGTGTAATTCAAAGCAAGCAGCACAATTACAGTGCGTGGTGTTTTGGCTTGAAGGGTCTGAGTGAATGCAGACTTCTGTGCAGGTGGTGGCACTGTGCAACTTTTTTTTTTGTGTGTTAAGTTTTTTTGGTTTTTTTTTTTTTTTTTTTTTTTTCCCTTAAGTACAGAGGAACCCAGTGTTTTATAAAATACTTCATTCAGTAGATGAACTTTGGGAAAGGCAGTTGTGTGTAGTGTTTTTGAGATAGAAGATATGTGATTAGCTCTGTGGTTGTGGCAAAGCAGAACTGTTTATTCTAAAGCTGTTTAACAACAAATATCCAGTCAGTTGTTCATAACCAATTCCAAAATTTTCCTTAGTAGCTTGTCTTATTGTCTGTTTGTTGTGGTGGTGAGAAGTTCCCAGTACTTAAACTCAAGTTTTCCTAAGTTTTTTTTAGGGTCTCTGTTTCTTTTTCAAATCTTGTGGTTGATGGCTGAAGTTGCTTTATTATTCTTTAAACATCATCCGATATGCACTTGTTTCTGTTTGTTATTAAGATTTTTTTTTGGCTAATTGTATTTTTCATCCAGTGGCATTTCCCTAATTTTTTTTTACATACAATTTCTTAAAGTAAAGCTAGCACTCTACCAAAAGCTAGCAAGTCCAGAAAAGAGTACTATCTTATTACCATAGCTGATTTTATTAAACAAATGTCAGGTCAGTTGTTAGCATAAGTTTTCCCATTAACCCTTCCCCCCCCACCCCAATATAAAGGCCTCTGAGATGCATTCCTTTCTTGAAATCACCCACCTTCCACTAAGTAAATTTGTTTTTAGAGGTTATTTTCTGTGGAAAACCTTTTCTCTGAAGAAAGGACACCCAGCAGATTCAGGTCCTCAGTTAGAAGGTGAAATGGGTTAAAAGTTACCAGCTCTGGACCAGGCCTGTATGTGACACAGTTTTGTGTCTGTTGCAGCCTGTTGTAGGAAAATGGAGAAGTACCAAGGGTTCAGAAAATTTCCAGTTTGAAATGTACCTCATCAGTCTATATGTGCACTAACTCTCTCTGTTACAATGATAACTGGATGCTGCTTTTTTTTCTTGCTTGTGTATGAATCCCTTTGAAGCAAATAACTTGATCTCGCATTTTTGCTAATCCTCTGCCTTTAATCTTGTTCTTGAATTTTGTTGCTTAGATGCAGAAAGAAGGAGCTCTTTATGCTCCTAATGGAAATATAACCTTTTAGTCAGAACTTAAGGATTATGAAAATTTATAGTTTCAGCAGCAAATGCAGTTCCTGTCTGCCAACAGTACCCTCTGCTTACTAAGCTGTACCTATTTTGTCACCAGAAATTTTTTAAAGTGTTTTCTCAGTGTTCGGTTTCAATAGGAAGTTAGTTTTATGGGGAAGACACAAGAGTTACAAAAGATTTAGGAAACTCATGCTGACCTACCTCCATTATATTTTTCACTGGTTATGTGGAGAATCATGCTCATCTCTGTCCTGTTGCTAGGTTATTCTGTGACCTTGGGTAAGTCGGCTCAGCTCTTTGAGTTTTGTTCCTTATCAGAGGTGAAAATAACCCACCAAATAAAGCTCCTGCCTCAAGAGTGGCCCTTTTCAGTCTCAGGCTGTAAGTACATAGGCTCTGAAGCATTTCCTCTAATAACAGTACCTAAACTAATACTATCTTTTGAAAATCACCCCTCAAGAGAAATCATATCTTTAAAAGGCACCTATTTTTCTCTTTTACCTACTGTCTTTAGAGAGAGATGAATGTTACCTCTAGGTGTTTCAAGAAATATTTTTGAGAACCAAAAATTTGAGATTTGTTCCTATAACAAATTGAGCCTTGTTCCTATAGCAATTAGCTACGCTAGGGTGTGCATTAGTAAGCTGCTGGTGCTGCTCTTCGATGGATGGAGGCACTCAGCCTTCTGTTTTTGGTCCTCAGAATGCGTTCAAAAGCGTGTGCCAATAGCCTATTGATGCACAGCCTGTTGTGACTTATTGTTACATTCAATGCACAGATGATTATTACAAAGGTAGGTTATTTGTTAGCATGATTTTCCACACTGCTACTTGAAGAATTTTAGCAGCGTCCACTAAACTCCCTAAAGTATAGTTCAGAATGAATCAAATTCTGCTGGATGATGTTTACATGAGTCTCTGTGCCCACTGCTGATGAGTCATGGAAAAAAGCATATTCCTTTGACTCCTGACTATGTGCGTGACAAGCACAGTTATTAGCTGTGCTTTACGATCGACAGGTTGGTTGCTTTTATTTTCATCTGTGTCCTCATTCAGACGGTTTCATTTTGCAAGGAAAACAGACACGCTTAGCCTCTCTAGCTGCTGTCTTGCAGCCATTGCACCTCAGAGCTTGCCAGCTGAATAAATTGCCCTCCTGTTTTTTCTTGACCTGTTGTTCCCTCACTCTTATGAACTTCTGCAGTGGCTGTTACTACCAGAGTCTCATTAGATCCTTTCTCTTCCTTTGTTTAATGGGTGTTCAGTCATTTCCCACTGTATCTACCCTTCAAATGACTGGTTCATATGCTTTTCACTCTTCTCATTATGAAAAGCAGAGTTTTCATGACAGCTGGGTATCTCTGGGGCCTTATTGCAGCTTGAACATTAAGTCATAAAAACAATACTTTTATGCATGTCTGAAAAGGCTATGATGTGCAGTAGCTCTGCTGTAATATCTAGCCTTACCCAGCACAACTTTTCCATTTAAAACAAACAAAAAGTCGACTTCAAATTGTAACACCAGAAACCTCAAGTTAATTGGAAGCTTATTGGTTTTTTTTAAAAGACTGACTGAATGCTGATTGTCCAAGCATTCAGCATTGGAATGCTTGGACAATCAGACATTAGAAATTGGCTTGGACATAATTTATTTTTTGGAGTTATTGGTCAAGAATGCAAGTGTGTGTCTTCAAGTTTTGCTCTCCCACCTCTAAACATTTGGAATTTTGCTGAAGGGAGTATATTAAAGGCAAAAGTTGCAGCATTAAAATCTCTGAAACTGAAATGCTAAGATTTTCTTCCCCTCCCCTCCCCCTTCCCCCCCCCCCCGCCCCCAGCTCCGTTCCAGATTACCTAAAAAAACTGCTGAATTGGCAATTTCTCTTAAGCACCTAGGAGATGATTAATGTGTTATGAATAATGTGATAGCTGGCTGAAAGGCGGCTCTTCCTTGTGAATAACAACAGTGTGGTAATGTGCCAGAATCAAGAATATTAACTTCATAGCAAGCTTTATCAATGTTAACTCACTGAAAGCAGGCAATATGTCTGACTTGCTGGCTTCCAGCTTTTAATTAAGGCAATTAAACAAAATGTGATCTATTCTTTTTCCATTTATTTATAGATTTAATTACCAGTAGTTAATTAGGCCACAATTCTATAAATATATACTACTGACCTCGTGGTTCCAAGTGGGAGTTGTATTTTAGCTGAAGATTGATTCTTGGTAAATAAAGTAATTTTTCAGTGTTGCTCAATAGCTTGTGCTTTGCAGTACCATGGAACCAAGCTCTTAATCTTCCTCAGTGTGTCCTCAATATTAGTGAATACAGTGATATTTATTTAGGTATTTCTAATTCCTCAGTAGCGTGGTTTAACCCTGGCCAACAACTAAGCACAGCTGTTCATTCCTTCCCCCTGTGGCGGGATGGGAAGGGAAGCAGAAGGTTAATTGTGAGAACTCGTGGGTTGAGATAAAGACACTTTAATAGGTAAAGCAGAAGCCTTGGCTTTTTAGAATAGATTTTTAGATTAGATTTTCAATATCCAGCCTGTGGTATGTGCCCCCCACTGACCTACCTATGATTGCAAACCTGTAAGGATAGGTTCAGTTAAGTGTGCTTTTGCAACCTGTTGTGTTATTAAATTAAGGGCTACACCTATACTTAAACGTATTTGAGCAGGAAGAACAGCACTGATGCACATGTGTTTTGTTATGAGTAGTTGAGATAGGTGAAAGTGGTATTTACAGACAGCTTTAAGTTTTTGGCTGTGGGTGGGATGCATTGCAGCCTGTCTCCTGTTAAACTCTTTGAGGCTTTGCCCATGAAGACAAAGTGTGGTGTGACACTAAAGACCGATGAAGTTTACGCTCTGGTGTAACTGCTCCGACTGCTCCTAGGACGCTTTATGGCAGCTCAGAGAATTAAGAATATAATTTAAGAGGGGAAAAAGGAAAACCAGGCAAGAGAGATGATATAGGGCAGTGCGATGCTTGTCCAGTAGTTCAGCCCAAAAAGCTTTAAAATAAAAGAAAAAAAAATTGAACAAAACGATGACACAGTACTCCATACAAAATCTGAAAATGTTTTGCAGAATGAGACAACAGTACTGCTGTATTCTTCACCCTAATGCATCTGACTCTCCCAATAACCTTTTGAAATTCTTCATGCATATTTAAAGACAATTTTAGAGGCATTTAGTCTTAAGTTTTAGGGTGTCAAAAAAAAAAAAAAAATCTACTGACTTCCATAGGACCATGAAAATAAAATCAATATTGAATGTTGTTAAACACCTGTCCTGTAGTAAGCTTACTAAAACACACTTTCCTTCTGAGCCACAGATGTGCTTAGACTTAATTCTCATCTTCTACTAATCTTCTGTGTCTGCTTCCCCATAATGAAGATAAGGAGCAATCTATAGCCTTTCTAAATTTCTGTGGGAAACAGTGATTGGAATCTTATCCTTTGTACAGCTTTTAGAATACTTGAGTTAGTGAAAGTGTTTTATAATTAGATGTGTTTTCTCCTGTTATGAGGATTTAAATTAAATTATTTCTCAGAGTTTAATGGCTCATAGAACTGTCCATAAAATATCATTTATTTTAGATTTTTATTATTTATAGACTCCAAAGTTGAGACAACAGGGAATAGCATTTTCCTTTTCATTCCACTATGGACAGTGCATTCCTCCTGCCCTGCAAGTGTTCAGAGGGGAAAAAAGCAGGAAAAGCATGTCTGAGAAATTACATTGATTTTTGGAGGAAAGGTTGGACCATGCTAATCTGTGACCTGTGCCACACAGAGCAAAGATTAGCCCTTGTTTGAAAGCTCTTCATCCAAGGGATGAAGAGACTGGAGAAAAAATAACACAGTGCTGAAAGGAAGCACAAGATAACTGAAGGATGGTATTACTCAAGGTGAAAACCTGCTGTCTGAGAAGGCAAAGCCTAAGCACTGCCAGCTTTAAAAAGAATTATGCAGAAGCAGATGTATTTGATGTAGCACAGTTACAGCTGGTGCTTAGAAATGGAAGGGATAGATTTCTGTAATACCTTAATTTGAAAATTGATCACTGAACAACAGCATTTAGTCACGTTAGTTTTTGTCAGACAATACGAACAGGGGTAAGAGGAGAATTCATGCATAATCTGGCCCTGATGCGTGGCTTTTTTCTCCCCGACTCCCACTGGCTTCAGTGAAAACTGAAGGAAATTCCTGCCTTTCAGAACTGTCTTTATTAACTTGACCTATTAACTAGTGACACCCATATTGCTGTGATTCTTTTGGAATAAAAAGTTATAGTGTATTTCCATCATTTAGCCTTCATGAGTGACTGAAACTGTTAGTAAAAAATCCAAAAATCTGATATATTTTGGTATCTGCACGCAATGACGTCTCAGCCTCTTTGGGATTTCAGTAGATGAAGTCTGTATATGACAGGATTTTAAAATAAAAGAAAGCTATACAATTATTTTAACCTAAACACTGAGTGATATTTGACTGTAGGTTAACCAGATGTGAATGCAGCAGGGCAGATAGCCAAGCTGTTAGAAAACTGAATTTACTCTGTCCAGGTAGATTACAATCTATGCTAGACCTTTTACTTTTTTCACATAGACATTGAGGTCAGGAGATTTGGAGTTGTGAGCATGTGGAAGATTCCCACCTTTGATGGCAGCTGATGGGCCATGACCAAAGAAGGAGAGAAACCTGACCTAAACAAAAGAGTATTTTTCTGTAAAGTACATAAAAGGAATGATGCCCACGGCAAAATATAGAGGATCAGAGCAATTAGTTCCAGGACTAATAGTCAGAGATAGCAGTCTGGTTATACTCTGTGCAGGTCTGTATGGGCATGTTTGTTTGGGGGAGCTCAAGGAACAGGACACCTATGAATTTGTGCTGTGCAGCTGTAGAGAAAGCTGGACTCTGGATGGGGATTTCTAGAACCGGAGGCAAAAAATAGGTCACAGCTTTAGTCTAGACAAATGTGAAGAGAATCATACTCTAAGAAAAATATTCTCCTGTGTGGTTTAGAAATGATGTTTAACTTGTGCAAAACATGGAAAATGAGGAGTCTTTTATTCTAAAACTATAAGATACTGTGTAACAGTTTAGTATTACCAGCTGTGGTAACCGGCTTGAATTTCACTTGGCAATCTACAAAAATAGTCTTTGGTGTCTAAATCAGAAGTAACATGCCTTCTTGGCAAGGTTGTGGAATTCGAAGGGCACAACATTTTTTTTTTTTTTTGTCTTCTTCAGGGGAAAATGTATTTCTA